CTCTTAGTCTCCATTGCATTGATTTTTGCTCTGATCTTTATAATTTTCTCTCTTGTATGAGCTTTGGATTCATTATGCTTTTCTTTTTCTAGGAGCTTGAGGTTCTGCATTAGGTTATTTATCTGAGTTTTCTCTGTTTTCCTAATATGGGCGTTCACTGCTATGAATTTCCTGCATAGAACTGCTTTCATTGTGTCCCATAGATTCCTGTATGTTGTAGTGGCATTTTCATTTATTTGCAGAACCTGTTTAATTTCTTCTTTAATTTCTTCTGTGACCCATTGGTTGTTCAACAGGGTGTTATTCAGTTTCCACGTGTTTGTAGGGGTTTTGCAGTTTCTTATGTTATTGATCTCCAATTTTATTGCACTATGGTCTGATAAAATACAGGGGGTAACTTTATTTCTTTTACATTTACTTAGACATGTCCTATGAGCTTGCATGTGGTCTATTCTGGAGAATCACCTGTGTGCAGCTGAAAAGAATGAGTATTCTGATTTTGTGGGGTGGAACACTCTGTAAACATCTATTAAGTCTATTTGTTCAATAACTTGGTTCAGTTCTAGAATTTCCTTGTTAACTTTTTGTCTAGATGATCTATTTGTGATAGTGGGGTATTGAGATCCCCCACTACAATTGTGTTAGTGTGTATTTGGTTTTTCATGTCCATTAATATTTGTTTTGTATAGTTGGGGGCATTCATATTTGGTGCATATATATTTATGATTGTCATCTCTTCCTCTTGGATTGTTCCCTTCACCTGGATGTAGTGACCATCTTTGTCTCTCTTAATTAGTTTTGGTTTGAAATCTACTTTGTCTGCAAATAAGATTGCTACCCCTGGTTTTTTCTGGTTTCCTGTGGCGTGGAGAACTGTTTTCCATCCTTTTACTTTCAGTCTATGAGTTTCTTTTTGAGTTAGGTGTGTTTCTTGTATATAGCATGTTGTTGGATTTTGCTTCTTAATCCATTCTGTCAGTCTATTTCTTTTGATTGGTGAGTTGAGGCCATTAACATTGAGAGTTATAATTGATAGATATTGATTCATCCTTGTCATGATGTTTTACTTTTGTTGGCTCTTTTATTTCTTATTTTTCCCCCTTTCCCTTTAGGGTCTTACCTTGCCTGGCGGTTTCCCTCTGTTGGGCCTCATGGAGTTGTGACCTTCATTGTCTTTTTCTAGGATATTGTTTAGAATTGCTTGTAGTGCTGGTTTGGTGTTCATGAAATTTCTCAGGTGTTCTTTGTTGTGGAAGTATCTAATTTCCCCATCAATTTTGAAAGATAATTTTGCAGGATACAACAGTCTAGGTTGGAAGTTATTTTCTTTTAGGGCTTGAAATACTTCACTCAAGGCTCTCCTTGACTTGAGGGTTTGTGTTGAGGAGTCTGCTGTGATTCTGATGGGCTTTCCTTTGTAGGTGATTTGTTTCTTTTCTCTAACTGCTTGTAGGATTTTGTTCTTCTGTTGGGTTTCTGGGATCTTGACTATTATATGTCTAGATGTAGTTTTTTTTGATCATGGCTAGTTGGAGTTCTATATGCCTCACTTATCTGTATGTCCAATTCTCTACCTCTGTCTCGGAAGTTTTCTACTATTACTTCTGTGAACAGTTTTTTATGTCAATTGTGCTTTCTGCTGTTTTTTCATGGACTTCTGTCAGTCTTATGTTATTCTTTTTTGCATCATCTAGCAGCTGTTCGATTGATTTCTTGTGGTCCTTTACTATTTTTAAGAAATGTCTGTTTTCATGGTCTTTAACTGTGATCCTGTCTTCTATATCTGATATTCTATCTTCAGATTCCCTTAATCTGCTCTGGATACTTTCAATGGAGTTTGTAATCTCCTGAATATCTGTTTGAATCTGTTTCATGGATTCCATTTCTTTCTTAAGCTGGGTATTCATGGCTTCCAGCATGTTTCTGAGCTCATCTTTTTTTTTTTTATCTGTTTCTGTTCTAGAGCTTCTAATCATGTCTTTCACTCCGCTCACCATCTCTGCAGATATCTGGGAGATTATTTCTACTTTGAACTTTTCTAGAGCTTCATTCATCTGTTTTGTTTCTTCCTGTTCTATCAGCTCAGGGCATCCAGGTGGTTGGTTATCGGACTTTTCCACCTCATTTCCCTCAGGGACCCTTGGTGGGGTGGAAGTCTGAGTTTGTGCCTTGTTTAAATGTCTTCTCATTTTTGTTTTTGGTACTGTCCTTGGTTTAACTCTTGGGTTGATACTGTGAAATTGCTTATTGTAAGTATCTTTGTTGCTTGTAATTAGAACCCTTATGGAATGATTACTTCTCAGAGGTGACTTCTAGATAGAGCTGGTCTTTAAGTTTTGAGTCTCTAATGACTTTGAGGTATCTCATTATCATTATATGAGGAAGGATCACTGACTAGATCAATAACAACACCTTAGCCCAAGTGATACAATCAGCAACACCATTGCATCAAGTACATCTTAGAATGTGACATTTTGTGGTAGCTATCAATCTATCACCTTTAACTATGTGAATTAAATCAAGGTCAAGGACCAACCCAATATATGTTTATACTGAGTAAACTCTTCACTATAACATTTTACCCTTTGGGATGGCGAGTTAGAAGGAGTTGGGGAGGGAGGGACAGATAGGTGGAAGGATAGGGGCAGGTTAGCAGTGAGGCCTAAGGACACAGGCGAGAAGGAAAAAGAGAATAATAGGAAAATACAGAACTCCAAATGAGGGCCAGAACAGGGACAAAAAGGAAGATGAACAATATGGGATAGCAAGAGAGTGAAGCGAGAGAGTAAGGAAAGAGAAAAGAAAGAAGAAAAAAAAAGAGAGAAAAACAAAAATTTGCAAAGAGTAGGAGAAAAAGAAAAAAATTAAAGATAAGAGGAAAAAAAGAAAAGAAAAGAGGAAAAAGAAACAAACCAATAATACTAATTTTGGAAATAAAAAATAAAAATAAAATTGAAGGGCCTCTTTCAGGTTATGTCTCTGTTGTCACAATAGACAACATGGGTAGCAGTGTGCAGATATAAGTCAATGAGTCTCAGTAAGGCAATCACAGACCTGTGAGATTCAGGCAGATTTCTGCCTGTAAGTCCCAAGGTGAGCTCCCTGCCCTCCTGTAGGGTTGAACTCTGCAGGGTTGTACTGCAGGTTCCAGCTGCCCTTCCCCTGAAGATAGTCCCTATTCTGATGGGAGGTGATGCTCGCACCAACTTACCCAGTACAGTGGTCTGGTGGTCCAGTGTCTTCTGTGTCTTTGTAGTATGGAAACAGCAGTCAGTACAGCCAAGAGGCCAGAGGACCGGGTGGGGGGAGGGGGGAATCCAGTGGATTGCTGCCGGAGTGCGGGCTGGATCGGCAAATTCCACATGGGTAGGGACCCTCCAACTGTGTCCGGAGAGGCGCCTGTCTGAAGCGGGCTGGATCGACAAGTTCCGCGTACGTGGGGATCCTCTGACCTCATCTGGAGAGGTGCCTCTTTATGCTAATTTTAACACTTTCTTGGTTTTTTTTGCTACTTTTTCTTGGTTTTTCACTTTTCTTTTGGTATCAGGGATCGAACTTGGGACCTTGTGCTTGCGAGGCAGGCAGCGGAACGACTGAGCTAAATTCCTGGCCCTCACTTCTTTTTAACTACAGAAACTTGACTATGTATATGTTGTTTTTTTCCATAGCTCTGTGACAAATTGGCTAATATGAACCATCATCTGATGAGGTAAGTACTGAGTTTTCCAATTAAATATATCAAACACAACCACTTTTCTCCAACCAGTACTTTGGAAATTTTCTTCTTACACTATCAGTATTGACTTAATGCACTTGCTAGTTTTTTTCTTAAAGAGAAATAAAACTATACTATTTTCTCATGTTAGCATTCACAATGTCTTTACTGTACTCATCCACAGTGACAAAACACTTTTACATTCATTTGGCTTAACAATGTGTACCTTTGTCTACAATACTACATGGCAAAAATAAAGCTCAAAAGGACCAATAAACATTGAGAAGTAGCAAACTGTTTTCTCCCTTGATTTTTTTTAAAAAATGGAGGCATCCATGGACCAGCATGTAATTCTGTGCAGGAATCCACAGTACGCAGGAGAAGGAGAGAAAAAGTTCAGAATCCAAAAGTGGGAAAGGAGTGCAGTTTTCAGCTTTGAGCTGAGTACAGTATTTCCAGAGGAAGTACTGGATGCCAGAGCCCCTGTGATGCCTGGCATCATTACTGTTGACTGTCGGTATCACAGCAGCCCTGCAGCAGACAAGAGTGACTTTCCTGTCACTGGGACATAATACCCAACACCCACAACTTACAGGAGGAGAGGTTCATTTTGGATTATTGATTTTAGAGGTTACAGTCTACAGCTAGCTAGCTCCAAGGAAAAAATGGCGTAGCAGAAGGGCCTGCCACAGAGGAAAGCTGGTCACATGATGGTCAGGAAGAAGAGAAAGGTCAAGCCAGGGAGGCAGACTTACCCTTTGGGGCCACACCCCCAGTGACCTGCCTCTTCCAACCAGGCCCCAACTCTTAACTGCACAGTCAGCTGTGGACTCATTAGTGGATGAATCCCTCCTGTGATCCAGTCTTTTCCAAAGCCCAGCTTCTGGTCATAGGAAGCTTTTGGAGTGCATTCACCACCTGAAACACAAACCCGAGGTCAGAGGTGTTCACAGTAAGCTCAGGGTTTAGTCCTACCATAATCACAAAAGTGCTTGTTTAAATGCAGGGTTTGGGTCTGAACCCCAGAACCCCTGAATCTGGCAATAGAGACACAATGAAAACCTTTTAGAGCTTCCAATGATTACAACAGCCCACTGGGGCATCTAATCACTAAAGGAACTAACGCCCCTTCAATTGATACTTATGAACAACACCTAGGAGCCCATTTGAAGGAGATTTATTTCACAATTTTTAAATGCTAGAAATGGTACTACAAGAAAGATGCTAACCACATACCAATATAAAGTGCATTTTACTTTGAACAAAAGTAAGAGTACCTTTACCAGAACCTGATTCTTGTTTTGTGGGGCTTTATTGACTCCCCTATGACCCTTCCATAGAGGGCAGCACTGCGGCAGAGGAGGGTTGTTGGGCCTGGGACAGATGCAGTTGATATAAAAGTAGTAACTGGAATAAAGCACAGACTTCTCTCATGGGAGCTAGTTTTAGGTGAATGTGTGAGAACCATCAGTTTCTCAAAGCCACCAAATAATTACCTGATACAGTATCAGAAATTTTAATATGTATTAAGATTTTTAAAAAATTATTCTGGGTTTTTTTGAGATTAAATTTTCACATGTCCAATTCAGATGACTATTTAAAGAGGTACTCAAGAACAGTTCAAACATACACAATATTTTTGTTCAGTGGTTTCTTGAATCATGCATAAAATCCAAGGAAAGTGAGAGGTTTTTGTAAGAGCAGCTGCAGTGTTTTTCTTTAACAGAGGACGATCAGCACCATCTAGAGGATCCAAATAACCTACTTAAAAAAAAATTCAGATGATCCAGGACATTGAGAGAGCAGGCTTTGGAACCTGGACTAGAGTCTCAGCAACAGTTAGTTCCCAATGACCTTGGAAACACTAATGTTTTAATGCTCTGTTTCTTGATTGTATATCTGCATAATCTTACTAACCTATGAGATATTTTTTGAAAAGAAGCGAGAAGGCATGTTCTAAACATTCAATAAATAGATTTTTTTTTTTTAATGCTAAGCACAGATTCTTAAGAGTGGAAACAGCCCAGGGCACACACTATTACTTACCCTTTGAAATAAATGGCTTTAATCCAGTTTGTGAAATCTGTGATGTGAAATGTACTGAGATCACTCTCCTTGAATGTTGTTACATTCGATAAAACCTTATGGGGAGAAAAGGGAAACTGAGGCACCGAGGCTGGCAGTTGGGGGCCAGATGGAATGTGCTGTGGGCCGTCTCTCATTCATTCAAATCTGACTCCACTCAGGAGGATTCAAGAGTAGCAAGAGATTGGAAACAGAAACAAAAACTAGCTCCAAAGCCAACACTGCCATATGTCACCAACCTGGAATAAGACCAGGGAAATTTGAGCTCAAAATATCTTGACTCTAAAAAAAATTTTATGAGTTACTTTGAAAGCCGTAACACTTTACAGATTATATTTGCTGAGGAAGATGGAACTGCAGAAAACATAGCATAAAAAATACGCTACTTCCTAACTTATATCTGAATGTTAATGGTTTTGGGGGTGTCACCCTCCATGGCTGACACATTCTATATCCTTTTAAATTCTGTAAAATCTATGGTAATGTCTCCTTGATCTTGACATTGTAATTATAAAAATGTACAACTGATACTGTGTAATAGGAAGAAAAGGTCTAAAGGAGGAAGGGAAGTGGGAGGGGTAGGGGAAAGGAAAAAAAGGGAAAAGAACAAATATGAGAAAATAAAAAAATGGAAACAAAGTCTTTGCAAATAGGGAAGGGTGGAGGGGGTGAAGGGAGGGCAAGGGAAGGGAAAAAATAAGAACCAAGATGCTCATGTAATATTACAAGATCCCAATGATGAATATAACTGTATTTTATACCTAAAATATACCAATAAACTTAATGGGGGAAAAAAAAGATCAGAGCAAAAATCAATGCAGTGGTGACTGAGAGAATGATACAAAAAAATCAACAAATCAAAGAGCTGGTTCTTCAAAAGAATAAATAAAATGGACAAACCCTTAGCTAACCTTATCAAAATTGCAACTGGGAACAAAAAGGATGAAATCACAACAGAGCCAGCAGAAATCCAGAGGATCATCAATACCCACTTTGAGAACCTGTACTCTAATAAAATGCAAATGCAAAACACAGAAGAAATGGACAAATTCTTAGATATATATAAATTACCAAAGTTGAAATAGGAAGATACAAAAATTGTAAACACCCCCATTTCAATCATTGAAATTGAAAACTTAATTCAAAATTTACCAACAAAGAAAAGCCCAGGTACTGATGGCTTCACTGCTGAATTCTACAAGAAATTTAGGGAAGAGCTAATGCCACTACTTCTCAAACTCTTTAATGAAATTGAGAGTAAAGCAATACTCTCAAATTCATTCCTGGAAGCAAGCATCACTTTGATTCTGAAGGCAGAGAAAGACTCAACCAAAAAAGAGAACTACAGGCCAATCTCCCTAATGAGCACAGATGAAAAAAATCCTCAATAAGATAACAAGCAAACAGAATACAGAGGATCATCAAGAAGATCATATACCCTGAACAAGTGGGATTCATCTCAGGGAATATCCAACATATGTAAATCAATAAATGTAATACACTACATTAACAGGGCAAAGGACAAAACACATATGATCATCTCAATAGATGCAGAAAAAGCATTTGACAAAATCCAACACCCATTCATGACAAAAACCCTACAGAAGATTATCTCAACCTGATAAAGGCTGTCTATGAAAAACCAACAGCTGGGCCAGGGATTTAGCTCAGTGGTTCCGGTGCCTGCCTTGCAAGTGCAAGGTCTTGAGTTTGATCCCCAGTAGAAAAAAAAAAGGCAGAGGAGGCTTCTGGGTCTGCGGGCTGCATCTCCTAGTGCAGAGGGAGCTTCTGGGTGGGTGTGCCACAGCTCCCAGGGCAGAGGAGGCTTCCAGGTAGGTATGCCATGGCTGCCAGCACAGAGGAGGTTTCCGGGTCAATGTGCCACAGCTCCTGGCACAGAAGAGGCTTCTGGGTAGGCGTGCCACAGAGCAGGTGAGCTGTGCGGCCACCACAAGCATCCCCTACCATCAAAATGAGAAGACACACAAACTAGCCTCCTCACCAGACTTCCAGATCACCTACAACAACCCCAAAGTGAAAGGAGATAGAACACTCTGATACTCAATCACCTGGACTGCCTGAACTGGCAACAAAAGAGGATCTGGGAAAAATGAAATCAGAAATAATTTCTCACATATAGGGAGAGATTTTGCCCGTAGTGCAAGACATGATTAATAAATCTAGAGAGGACACAGATTGAAAAATAGAGGAGCTGAGGAACA